TCACCAATTTCCGCCAGGAAGTTCAAATAAAACAGCCACGTGCGATTCAACAGCACACCGCCCGCCCCCACACGGGCGTTGTAACCCGCCACCATGCCGTCAAGAAGAGCCAACAGATTCTTCAGCTGACGCCCGTACGCGTCAACCGCATCCGCGGGCGTCCATGTACGCCACGTGTTCCTGGATCCACTTCACAGCCTTTGGCGAGCTTGCCAGAATTTCGTTCAAACCGTCCTTGCCCAAGAAGTTATTGTTCAATTCCGCTTCCATGCGTTTCTGCGTTGTGTACCCCTCGCCGTACCCCATTGCCTGGTAGGCTATTCGGAGCATCTCATCCCTCGTCTCAATGGGCCCCGAGTGCAGGAACTCCTTGTCCGCCTCCGCATTCACGACATCCCAGCCATTCTGCAGGAAGGTGTCATGCACCTCCAGTGTGGCGGCCACGGCGCCAAACAATTCCCCCTCCGTGACGGAAAACTCCTTTGTCTTCATGTTGTAACGCACCTTCACGGTCGTCACATCGTCATTTTGCCAGAACTCCGCCCGGACACCACCCGTTGCGAGAATTGCAGTAGCCAGCAGTAGGAGTGTGACGCCAAAGATAACGTCCTTCACGATTCTTTCACGCCTCATTCTCGAGTTGCCTTTTATTATTATTATTATTTTTTTCTTTCACTTGCTTGCTTGTATTCTTTCCTTCTTTGTTTGTTTGTTTGTTTGTCTCCCCCCTATCGTTCTCAATTTTAATATAATAACTTTTTATTTCCACGTCACCTCGTTAAATAAAACGTTCGTGAAGCTCTTTCTCTTTCTCTCTCTCTCTCTCTCTCTCGTATGTATGGAAGTAATATATGCGTGTGTGTGTATGTTTGTAATTCTGCAATGTATGCGGTGATGACTCCAGCCCGTTAAACAGTCATGACGGTGACACACACACACACACACACAGAGAGAGAGAGACACAAAAGGATGCAATGGAAAAAGAAAAAGGGCAAGTGAAGTCACATACATATATATATATATATATATATATAAGCAACAATAAAACACACACAATACATAACAGCCATCACAAGTGAAAACGTACCGTGACAAATTTTCCTCCCACCACTTCTTCTGTCTGCTTCCCGCCAACAACTCCCGCAACGCTCAGTCTAGTACATCGCGCCACTGCAGCTGCACATCATCCGCAAAGGAGCGTAGCGATGCAACGCGCTGTCGCACAAACGCCGCCTTCTTTTTTCCCTCACGCCACGGTGCGACAAGCTCCCGCAGCAACATCAGCGCCACAACGTGAAAACCTGCCACCGGTGCGTACTCATTCCTCAGAGTGTCGCGCCCAACGACGGCGAAGAAGAGGCACGTGAGGATAAAGCCTGCAGTGAACCCTGGCAGGTGGGCCAGCAGCCTCATCAGCAGCGGGAGATACCGCACAATCTGCATCAACAGCGGTCCCCCAAAGCGCAACGGCGGAGCTTCCGCGGTCGGTTCTTCTGGCCGCGGCATCCATCGCGAAGCCATGCCCATTCCCTACCACCACAGTTCCTTTCCCTTCTCCTCCGCACATATACGCACGGAGTAATTCAAAAAGTAAAAAAAAAAAAAAGTGTGTTGCGGTGCCGCCGTGGTTGCATGCAACAAATCCCAGAAAAGAAAACCAAACAAAACTAAAAGGGATATCACTTTTCCTCCACACAATCTTTTTCCTTCACTTCACGCCTCCTGCAGCCACAAGATTCGCATCCTCCCGCCGAATCGCGTGCGGCTCTCCTCCACAAGTTCATTGCGCAGCTTCATCGTCTTCTCAAAGAGTTCCTCCACAGCAGCCCGTTCCTCTTTGCCCTTTTCCTGCGTCCGCACCACGCAAAAGTCCAGGATGCAGCGGAGTGTAATGAGAAGGGCCTCCCAGCACTCAAACTCCGGTTCTACATGATGCGCCGCATTGTCCGTGATGAATTTCTCCATATCATGGCGAACTTCCTGCACAAGCTCAAAAAGTCTTGCCCACACGTCTAATTCATAACCGACAGCAAATAAAGCCCGCTCCCGTGATTCAGCTGGAGACTCTCCCCCCGCCTCTTCCTCGCCGCTGCAGTAGCGTCGCCCCGTAGCAATTGTGCGGAGATAAACAGCGATGCCAGTGAAGATTTCCATCTTCTCTTGCTGCGGGTGCCGTTCTGTGGGTGGACTTGTGAGGGCGCGTGTTCGCTCAATCAGACGGTGTATATCGCCCCAGCGCAAATCCAACGCCTCCACCGTCCGCTGTTCACCATGGGATGCTTCCTGCAGTGCAACGTCCTTAACGCCAGAGGCCTCTGATGTTTCTGCGACAACAGCGCCACGCACTCCCTCCACCATCTCTTCCCCACCCTTGCTCGTATGTGACGTGATCTCCGTTGACATACGCTGTCGTTCACTTTGCTGCCGTTGCTCTTCTTCCATCGTGGTGCTGCCACTACCACTCGTGGCATCCGCCTCAATCGCGGAGGTCTTTTTGGCGGAGGCATGTACAAGCGGTGGGTAGGACTTAAATAGTCCCCTCTCGTCAAAACACACGCGGATTGGGCTCCATGGCTCGCGCGCGCCAATGTACCGACCCAACACACGGCTATCGGCCACCATCTCCACTTTAAGCCACAACGAGCGGTACAAATCATCCTGCGCCGCGCTGGAACCACGCACTGCATACCGCAAGAGCCGCTGTGCATCCGAGTCCCGAGAGCTGGCATGGGTGGAGTACTTCACCATCTCCATTAGTTGCGCCATTAGATCCGAAGTATATAGCACGCCGCTGTACGAAATCATCGTCAGTAATGATAGAAATATTCTTCGCTCAGAGACTGCACGAGTGTCGTGCAAATCGGCGTCGACCGCGCGCTCTGCGGCAGCAAGAAAAACAGAGCACACGTCTGTATCTTCAAAATCCGTGTACTTTACCAACTTTTCATTAGTGTCTGTTTCGGGACGCCGCATGACGGAGCCGACAAATGGGATTCGTAGTTGTAGCGCAGGAATTTCCATCGCGGGGTGATCACTTTCCACAAGTTCCCACAAAAAATTATGTACCTCCTCCAAGAGCATCGAGGCGGAATGCATCGTGTGCAAGTAGCGTCGGTATACAGAGGGACTCAGACTTGCCTTCAGTGCACGCAGGTTATCCCGATAACGTTTGATTTGCTCCTTCAGCAGCCGATCCACACGATGCGGGGCGAGTCTCTCAATCTCCTCCATCGCTAAGCAATTATACAACTCCACCAGCTGCCGACGGCGGGCCTCTCGCCACTCGTATGGCATTGCGGCACTGTGGTCCAGCACTGTATGCAGTGTTTCAACGGCCGCGATGTCAGGGCGTGCGCCCAGCGCAGTCAGCTCATCAAAAAGAAGGAAAACATCATCCACCTGAATCCGTTCGTAGCGGGCGGCGCGTGTAAGAAGAACATTCATTGTGTCCACATCCACCTTGACCCCGCGCTGCTTCATTTCCTTGTAGCATACCAACATTTCCGGAAACGACTGGCAGGCACGCAAGGCACCGTTGTATGCGTAGGCAAGATTGCGATAGGAGAACTGCAGCCAATCACGTGGAGTGCGAGGTTCGAGGCCGATGGACCACTTCTTTGCGGGCCAGTGACGACGGGCCGCAATCTCGGTGCTGTAGCTGTCAGACCAATTCGTGTTGAAGTGCGCCGGGTCCCACGCACTTCGCGGAATATTCGTCGCAAGGAGGCACGGCGCACGGCGCAGCATAATCTCTCACACAGACACACACACACACACACACGGCAGTCCTTTCGTCACCTTTTTCAAGAACGGCAGGCCCCGCTGCTACCGTGACCGCTTTTATTTATTTCCTTTTTTTCTTTTTTCCCCCCTCTCCTTCTCGTGGATGAGACTGGGGCGGCAACACCACCCAAAAGTAAATGAAAGAAAAAAAAGGGGCAATGGGTGGTTTGCAGCCGCCGTAAAGTAATGCCATTCTCTACCTCCCTCTCTCTCACTCTCTCCCCAGACATCATTGGTGAGACATCGTTATACCCATATATATATATATACATAGGTGCATGCATGTATAGCAATATATAAATATTCCTCTTGCTCTCATTTCCCCCACCCTCTTAGCCTTCGCTGCAACTGACTCTTCTTTTTATCAACTTCACACTCCACTCCACTCTTCTCCCCCCCCCCCTCCCACAAATGCAGCGGGGTAAATTTCGCAGTAAACGCGGCACAAGGAGGTCAACAATCGGCCACGATTCAAATGGAAAATTAAACGGCAGAAAAAAGAAAAACAAACAAACAAACAGAAATAAAAACACTTCCATTCCTTCGGTTCTCTTTCACTCCTATTTTCTCTGGTGCCGATTGCAATGACGTTTTAATCCACTGCACCACCACACCGTTATGCAAGCCCGGTGGTGGGGCGCAGATAACGTTTCGTCTCCTCCGGAATTGCCATGCGTGCCAACAGCAGCGACTCGTGCGCGGCACTTTGCTGCGTTGCGTTAACTAAATCCGACGATGAATCATCTTGCCGTTTCTGCAGGCTCGCAAGGGAGTAGAGCGCCTTTGCCGCCGGAGTGGAGTTCATGAGGTCGGTGAGGTAATGCAGTCGGCTGAGGGGTCCATCGTTCCAAGTCTCTGGCATTAACACCACCTCCACCGACCCATTTCCAGCGACGATGGTCAAGAGGTGTGATGCCAGATGCAGTGAGACGGAGCGAATAGGGCCGCCGCCTCGTACATTGTAGTGGCCCAGCACCAACATGAGCTTGGGTATTACGACGTACAGCAAACCCCCACTGTCACACGCCGCAGCCAGGAGCCCATATTTACTGAGAAACAGGCCTGTTACGGTGCGACGCGCAGTGAAAAGGAGTTCACACCTGGCGGTTGCAAACGCAAAGGTATACACCTTTCTACCGCGAGCCACAAGCGCCAACTTCTCATCAGAGGCAATGGCGGTGGTTCGGGTAAATTGAGAACCGGGCAACTTAACTCGTGGCTCGACATCTTCAAATGTCACGGTACTCCGCACACGAAGCTCGTGTTCCATTCCCGGTGTTGTATGCACCAACAGCGACACCTGTGCACCGCCCAAGCCACCCAGCAGCCACGCACCATTGGATGGCTGCACAACGTGCCACTTAAATGTCCGCGAGGGGAAGACGCTTTTTTCCAACATTTCTGACTTCATAAGAAGACCCTGCTGCTTCCATACATAAACCGCCCCCTCGGAACTGCACGTGACAAATCCCATGCCCGTTGTGACATTCACAAGCCAACGCTCGGCTTCGCCGCCGCTCAGTGGGAGCCTAGAGACATTGCTTCCTCCAGAAGAAGGGTGAGTTCGATCCTCGTCCAAGTCTTCAGGGCAGTATATGACAGCCACCGCCACCACGGGTGCGTCATGGGCAACAAAACCAAATACAAAACCGTACTCTGAAAAAACGTCAACGCGCCCATCACTCGATCCCACAACACCCCGAAGATACATCGTCCGATCCGAAACAGACGCCTTTGACGTTAAAGCTGTCGTGCCAAGATTGCTGGATGTGTGGAGAGGGACGGTCGGCGGCTTTGCCATCGCGGGAACACGGCACATGTATACCACCTCCAGAGGGATCATTGAGGCACATGTCGCCTTTTCTAAATTTACACCGTGCGGTTTCCCCATGGAGAATCGACGAATTTCCTTCGGCCCCTCATGCCCGTCTGTCAAGTCAAAAAAGACTACACTGCGGTTTGCAAGAACGCAGACGATGGCATCTGCACGTTCCCCGTAGAGAGCGAAAAGGGGCGACCCCATAGCATCTTCGTCCGCCGCACGGTAGGGAATCGACCCAGATGCAACACGGGTTTGTTCATCCCCTTCTGAAGAGGTCTCCCGACGCGAGAACATTTCCTGCTGCTGCTGCCGCTGAAGGGGGCACAAAATTGTTATGAAGGATGCGAACACGACCTCCTCCTCCAGGGGGAGAAACAAAGAACTCCACGTCACCTCATTATCCATCCCCAACTCCTGCAATGCCTTTTTTAAAAAAATATTTCCTTCCTTTTGAAATTTGTCGTTTTTTTCTTTTTTCTTTTTTGTTGTTGTTGTGTTACTCAAAAACGTTGCGCTTCTTTCCCTTTCCCCGCCTCCCCCTTGTCGTCTTTTCCTCTTCAAATTCCCTCTTTTTCCCCTCCCCTACACAAATGCTCCGGAGTAAAATAATAATAATAAATAAATAACAGGAACGGCAATACATATATATATATATATATAACAATTGGACCGCTCGTTGCGAGGAGATGAATGGGGACGGAACAAACGAACGCACACACACACACGGTTCTCCCTGTCACTCCACACCCAATCGTTTTCTCTCGGCATGCATGTGAAACGTTCATTGCCGTGTTTTCCCTCTCATTGGTCTCATGAAGGATGAATAGCATTTAGAGCCTCCTCAAAATTTTCCCTGCGCAGCACTATCGACGGAGAGAAGGGCGTTGGTGCCCCTGTCCTCTTCAGCGGCGTTGGTGTCGCACGGGGTCCACTTTGAAGGCCGTCATTCCTGCTAACAGAATCATTCTCCCGAGTGTCGGTATTATGTCGATGATGGAACGGGTATTTATTCCGGCTTTCATCAAGCGTTAAAACACTCGCCGCACAACTCTTTTTTGAGGGTGTCGTTACAAGATGCGCAAATGTCTTCTCTTGTTTTTCGGAGTGTACAATGGCGGTATTCGAGTGATGCACGGCAGTCATTTTGTTCTGTTGCCGTAGACGCTGGAGTTGAACTTCCAGCGATCTCTCCCTCTCTATTGCCTCCATCAACGCAATTTCCTGCTGATGCCCCATACTTCGAGCCGTTTTTTCCTTCTCCCGCATACATCGATCAGCCGTCCGCAGCTTTTCCTGCAACTCCTGATACATTGCATGGGATCGCTCAATGGCTTGTCCCAATTGCCGTATATCCTCAAAGGAGCGCCGGAGTTCAATGCGCAGTTCCGTGTTTTCCTTCTCGAGGGTCGTCGCGCTCGACGTGTTTGCGGTGCGTCCATCCAAATTCGTCTTTCTCGTCAGCGGTGCTGACACGGCGGCTCTTTCCGGAGAGGTAAGAAATGCCTCCTCTCGATTGGCCTGCAAGGCGGCATCACGTTCATGTACGGCAAAGTCAAGTGCTGCCTTCAGCGCGCGATGCTCAATTTCCAGTAGAGCCGTCAACTCCGCCAGCCGCTGCTCCACCGGCGGTGCGGCGGTACTGTCCGCGGAGAGTGAATGCACCAGCGCCTGCACTTGGGGCTCGTCTACGCCCCCGCAGCGATGAAGAAGCAGACGGGGTGCCGCCGCTGCGCCCTTAAGAACCGTCAACACAACTTCACTTGAGCTCAGCACACTGCTGAACAAGTGCACCGCCGCAGCCTCAACATTCTGCAGCCGATTGCGCAGTTCATCCACGACGCCCACGCTGACCTGCAGCTGTCTTGACAAACTATCCTTCTCATTCCGCAGCAGCTCCATCTCCCGCTGAAGAAGGTTCATCGTCTTCCCACATTTGCCGCATGCAAAAGAGGAAAAATCGGCATGACTGGTGTTACCGGCGGTGTTCGTCGTCGTTATATCATTCCTCTCGGAGCACGGCAGCATCGAGGATGTGTCGCCCGTCTCAAGTGGCACCGAGGGAACCCCATGTATTTCGGATTTCCCTCCCTCGCCGGGAAATGAACTGACGTCCTCGCCGTGCTGGAACGACAATGCCTCTACGTCGTCAGCGTGACGATCGCCGCTCACCTCCCTCTTTTGCGGCTCTCTTTCCTGTAGCCGATGCAGGGCGATCTGGAGGCTGTCTCTATTCCGCTTCAGATCCGTCTCCAGCTGCCGTACTCTTTCCTCTAATCTTTGCTTCTCCTCCCTGTAACGCGCGCGCTCGACATCCCACGCAGTCTTTATCAACGCACACTCATGTTCCGCATCGTGTTGGGCCAATTGCGCCTTCTCGCGCTCCATTTTTTCCATTCCAATTGCTCGACGCAGCACATAAAGTGGCGGTCCAGTGGGATCATCTTCCCTGGGCTCCCCAACCTCCGCCATGGACGACGACATCACATGCGTAGAGCTGAGGTTTTGGCGTTCGTTGCCACTGTTCCCCTGTTCTTGCTGTGGCGTGCTCTCCATGTACTTCAGCAAGGTGCGCAGCAGCAGGGCCATGAACGAGTGCCGAACGGACTGTGGACCGCGTAAGACAATAGAATCATGGGCGTATTCTAACATGACGGCTGTGCCATCGTCCAAAACAAACCTGCCCGGCCCAAATGCGGCCCGCACGACACGACGTAATGCCTCTGAGGGAAGCCTCACGCTATCAATTCTGCTTTCCGCTTGCCGAAAGGAAGGCTGGGAAGTAGGCATTTCTTGTTGAACCTGCCGCAGTCGGTGCGCCCTGTCAAACTCGTTTAGCAATTGGGCTCGAGGCGTTTCGTTTTCCCTTCCCGGCATCCGACATTGGTTCATGGTGATCCCTGCATCATCCGCTACACGGTTGCATTTACCACCGGCCTTTGCCTCTCGCAGCCTGACCAACTCATTCTGCAGAAAATAAGAAGCCTCGCTGTTGTTTCTGTCCTTCTGGCCACTGCCCGCCTCCATCCTCCCGCCCGACCACTGCGGCAAGATATATACAAATATATATATATATATATGCACGTGGAGAGAGCGATTGGGAAGAGCCCCTACAAAGAGGATTCGCCGAGTGACTAACCCGTAACAACCCAAATGAACAAACATGAATAAAAGAACAGCTACGGGTGGTCCTCGTTCCTTCTCAGAGTACAAACATTACACGCACACACATAAACACAAACAGAAGCAAATTAAAAAAAAAAAAAAGATAATATTTCCTCTCCTTGTTCTCTCTCTCTTTTTGCTTTATTTTGCCTCCTTATTCCCCCCCGTTAGGCGGCCCGCCGTCACGCTCCTCACCCAAACCGGGTATGCACAAATGCTAATGCATGAAATATGCCAACTCGGTATTAATCCGTGGATGTCTGGTGGCACGAAAAGAAAAAGGATAGGTCTCTCCCCCTCACCCATAGCGATGGGTCGTACAGAAGACAGCACACGGGAACAATCAAAGCGGGAAAAGAGGAGGAGTCAATAAAAACCACGCATGTGCTCAAATTGAAAAATAAAATGAATAAGTGTATTATTATTATTATTATTATTATTATTAATATTCTTATTAATAAAGAAATATCTCCACAACCATCCCCAAGGATCAACAGTTTGCATACATACATATTTTTTGACTTTTACAGGTTGGCTTCGCATGCCGCACCTGGAGTGACCTCACCACGGAGGTTACGTGGCAACAGCTTCCTCACGGCAGCCGGCGAAAGGCCCTTCCCAAACAAGTACATCAGCTTCGTTTCCGCCGCCGCAGTCGTCATATGCAAATATATGAGATCTGGCGAGACGCCACGCAGCCGACAGATCTCCGAATTTGAGAGGCTCCCAAAGGGCTCTTGCACCGTCGCACACAAGACAATATCACGCGCCTTGGCCACACTCGCCAACTCACGTAGCACCAAAGAGGACTCGCTGTTCAACGCCCCAACACCACCAATTTCCAACAACACCGCATCCATCAATTTCTTCGGCCGTGGGCATGTGTTGGCGACGGCGGGATTTATTCGCCGGCCGTCCCCAGCGACACCATCAGCATCTTGTGTATTTTTCCTTTTCTTCTTGTTTTCGGGGTCCGCCTCGCTATTGTCTTTTCCTTCGGTGCTGCTGGACGGCGATTCCTCTTGCACGGCGAGGGGCGTTGTTGTCGGGGTCCCTCCTGCGACCTCGTCCTCCAACAGCAGTTGCTTCATCACTTTCGTATCACACTCGGCGTGGAGCGCAAACACCACCACGCGGCCTCGCATGTTGGACTGCACCTTCAGTGGTCCACTCGGTTGCGGCAGCAGCAGTTGCTCGCGAAAGTGAAGCCCGTCGACTCCACA